GCCTCCAACCTACTTGCGATGGCCTCCAACCTACTTGCGATGGCCTCTAACCTACTTGCGATGGCCTCCAACCTACTTGCCATGGCCTCCAACCTACTGTGATGGCCTCAAACCTACTTGCGATGGCCTCCAACCTACTTGCGATGGCCTCAAACCTACTTGCGATGGCCTCCAACCTACTTGCGATGGCCTCAACCTACTTGCCATGGCCTCCAACCTACGTGCGATGGCCTCCAACCTACTGTGATGGCCTCCACCTAATAGCGTCCTAATACCAAGAGAGACATTCGCGCCCTCCCTGCGCAACCCGGTGAACACGTCACTCTGCATCTTCGGCTCTGGCCTTGGCCTCGGGCGAAGGTGGCACGTCTGCAGGGGAGGTCTCCGGCGAAGGTGCCTGCGGGGCGGTCTTGTTCACGGGGGGACCCAAAAAAGGTTGTAAAGCTTGAACTCAAAACCCAGTAGTTCAATAAAATTGAACGAAAAAGGGATTCATCATATAATATTATATAGAATTGAACTCGGGATCATCAGGCAAATCTGATGGTCAGTTCATGTGATTTGCCGCAGTCAAGCAAGCTGCAAGCTTGCTCAAACACAAGAACCAATGCACTTTAGCTTGTGATATTTGTCTGTCCGTTCATTCATACATTCATATAAAAACAGCATTTGCCATGTCATTGGAAGATCCAGGCAAACATCCCCGACACATCATCTGATCCGCGAACGCAAGGATGACTGAATATCGACCCATGTTTTTGTTCTATCAAAGAGGGTCCACGCAGAGGTTCCTCCCAAAACAGTGGAAATGGCACGCGTTTGTTCAATCCTGAACAACACACGATCTTCTTGCCTGCAGCCAGCCCATTTCATTCAATACATGTTTTGGAATGAACATGAATGAACAACATATTTAAACACTAATTGAGTCGGTTTGTTATGGTCCTCTGTATATGTTAGATGGCTGTCCACAACCAGGTGGAGCCATTCGTGGCTCCGATGCGAAGCTCTGGATGTACCACCACCCCACCAACACCACCAACCAAGAAGGTCTGATCTAAAGCTCCGCATCAGCACACAAATGCAAACCAAACCGATACCGGCAAATTCCGCCTGCTCAGCCATAGTGAGATAGTGTCATTTGCAGAAAAAGAACACCCTTCACTTGGCACTTGGGTGTGTATTTGTATAAATATAAACAGAACCCTCACCAAAGGAAATTGGGTCCAGCTTCCGTTCGTCCAGGGGGATCGGATCGTTCGTCCACGTCTGTCACTCCGAACTTGAGCTACAACACTTCGTCACTCCGAACCTGTTTTGCCGCAGATTTGCTGGAAGATCTGCGGCTCTTCTCAGTGCTCTTCTCGCTGGACTCTACCTGCGGTGAAATTCAGTCGTGTCCATCCACTGCAAAAGCTCCACCATGACCAATTGGGGTTGACCACTCCTCAATCGTACTTTGAAGGAATGCAAAGTCCATTGAAGAGAACAATGATTGGAATGATTATGTCCGAACATGTATATAAGTGTTGTTTAACATAAAAGAAAAGACATCCACTCCCTGGAATGAACAAACATAACACATACGGTAATGTGCTTAGCAAGTTGAGACCCACAAATACGACATGAATAATGATAAAATGCTGCTTTGAACAAGCCCTTGGCCGCATCAACAAGCAGCAGTCCAAGTTCAACTCCCCAAATGGCGCCCCAACCATCCCCGACCCCGGAGAAAAACACACCAACTGTTGGCAGCGCGCTACAAAGGACCCCCCAGCGTGGTGAATGGACACCCGAAATCACCTCTCTTAAAAAAGCGGCTCGGCCAGGGAGTTTTGAGTGTCTCGACTTCGCCATTCGGCCAGGGTCCACCAAAACGAAAAAGCACCGGGGATGGGTGAAGAAAGCCTGCAGCCCAATGAGTCCACCATATAATAGGACCATATAAACTAGTAGATCCCTGTTAAAATGAAGGGGGAGAGGTCGGGGCGAGCAGTTTGTAAGGGGACCAGGTTTGGAGTCTACGAAAAGCTCTGACCCAAGCTGATTTGACATCTACAAAATGGCATGTACCAGAGTGGGCTTGCACAAAATGATGATGCCTCAAGATTACTATCGCTTACAAGTGCATAGCCAGCCATACTGCAAAGTGATTTCTCTATATACAAAAATCGGGTTCTGTAGGTGCCCAAAACTGCCTCGTTACAAAATGGCACATCTGTAAGGGCCTCAAACTCTCCCTTTTTGTAGAGGAAATTTCAACAGGGATCCATATAGCGACCGTTCCAGGTAAGTCCGGCCGTCTGCCGGTAGGTCGAGTTCGGTTCAGGCCCTGAACTGGAGCAACAGAAACCCCACCCGCTGGCCTCTTGCTTCCAACCTGCAGTAACAAGAAGCTATACGCTAGGAATGAAGGGCATCGCTACTAGGAGCAAGAACGCTACTAGTAGCTCCTGGCCTTACTACTAGTAACAAGACGCTTCGAAGAAACGTGCGAGCAAATATGGGACTCTAACATGGTCGATGACTCTTTTTGGTATTTTCTTCGCACCCTTCCGGCCTTCCACGATGATACCCGATGATACACGATGCATGAAACCCAATCAACCACGCACGGATCTTCACTGTTTCAAAGTCATGCAAGGGTGGTCTGTCTCATATCCCACATGCAAAACAAGAGATCGACCTGTTTTTTTGACATGTTCTTATGGTTCAATGATGTTTAATGAACATAACACATGCTACTTTGGGTGTGTTGATTCGATCCATCAATCGAAGATCTGAAACACATTTTAAAAAAAATAAACATATGCCATCACAGCCTGTTGCCATCACAACTAGGCTTTCATCAGCTACATCGCTGATCGAACTTGGCGATGGGTCCAACCAACATGGGTGAACAAATGCACTCGAGCTGATCTAGGAGACGGGACACGTTACTTTTTTGGGGGGGCAAGTGCGTTGACATACAATAACCTTTTTTCCAACAAATTCTTGAGATTGCAAGATGAACAATATATGAAAATTCTTCAACTTCCCACACACTGTTTAAATGGATGCGAACGTTTCGAGACACGTGAGACAACGAGTCTTCACCAGGCGCGAGTCCCGGCACGAAACGGCTCGCGGCGCAAGCGTTCGACCAGGGCCCAAACCGCTCTCGGCAACTTTCACCTCGGCCAATGGAAGCGGTGACCGGCAGTGATGACCGTGCCATGCGCTCCGAATCCTGTGAATGAATCCTTTTCGAGGGTGCCCTCCAAGTGGCTCTCTTGATCTGAGATGAAGTCGGACAAATGGTGTCTCTGTCCGCCCCGAGACAAGCCCGGAGAGGGCCGTATTTCGACTACTGTCTCTGTCTGTGCAGACCAACTCATTCAGCCAATCACACCCATTCCCGAGTGACTTCCAGCTGTGGATTCGTCCCGATGAACGGATTCTAAGCTCTGTGGCGGTCTGAAGACAAGCACCGAAAACGACAACGCGGTTCTGCACCATGGAACGGTGCACCGACAGAAAAGACCACCGGTGGATCCAACGAACAGCACCGGTCCGGCACCGCAGTCTTTTGGTGCGAAAGGCGAGTTTGGTGCCAAACTGTTCGCATCTGCTCGCTGTGTTCGTCCAGTGTGGGCGTGATGCCATAAAGTTAGGTACAAACCGCGGATCTTCGATCCGATTGCGCTCACAATGCAAGAGGCTCAGTAGATGGTTAAGGCTTGAACCTGGGTGCAGGGGGGTGTTTCTTCCAGTGGCAACTTGGTTCATGATGATGTTAGGTTCATAGTAGCGTAGTAAACTATTCCGGCTTCATGGTCAAACCTCCTGAAGTAGCAAAATCACGCAAATCGCCGGTTGTGTCGCATCCAACTTCAGACCTGTCTCCAGCTAAGCACAACCCGAAAGTGTTCGACGACACAACTTGCAGTCCCTCTGTATCAAGAAAACATTACGTTTATGAAAAACAAGTTGCCTGCAATGTCTATTAAATTCAAAAATTTGTTTAGTCCCCCTTGATTGTTCATAGGCGGGTCGGTTCTTCATTTTATAAACCATTTGTGTTTATATAATGTGAGGGATAGGTGCTTTGGTTTATAAAATGAAAAACCAACTACTGTAATTAGTTTTTTTTACAATGGCATAGGTCATGATAGGTTAACATAGAAAACTACATTCAGAAGAGACAATTTGTGACATGAAAATCGCAAATCGGGAATCCGAAACCTCGCCAAGTGAATTTATCTGAAACCTTGCCATCTATTGTCACTCACTCTCCAAGTTACTGAAGTTTATTAAATGACCTGTGTAAATCCATACTCCGCAGCTGAGGTAGTTATCCAACATATACAGCCCCTTGTGCTTACAAAATATCAATTGAAAAGTGTGTTTTTTGAATGAGAAAAGGATGGTCATTTTCATGGGGGATGTTTCTTTGAACAAAAGGACAACAAACATAAACCAGGAATAGGAACAAAAAGGAGCTGGAGATATGAATAAAAAGGAAACAAGTTGACAACACTCTAGGAAAAGAAAAAGAAAAGGAAACAAGGGACAAAGAACAGGATGGAGAGAAAAGGACAGAAATACAGGAATGTAGGACCAGGAACGGAATAGAATTGCATTGAATCAAGTTCGAATGAGCAAGGGTGCCAGAAACGCCAGCAACAAGGAGTTCCTGGAGCATACAATTAAAGAAGAACATTAGATCCTTGGACATTAGACAGATCAGGTTTACATCATTCTACACATCATATACATAGACTCTAGTCTAGTCTAGTTACTACAATAGTTATAGTATATTTCCTGGTTTTTCTCATTTCAACATATAGCCATATAGCCTCCAATTTTCTATGCTTACATTTCTATTTTTCATATGTTTGAAAATGCCAGGGCTTTGAAACCCTAAGGCTTTTAGGGGTCAGGGTTTTGAAACCCTAAGGTTTTTAGGGGTTAGGCTTTTGAAACCCAAACCCTAAGGTTTTTAGGGGTTAGGCTTTTGAAACCCTAAGATCCAAAGCCCTTTTTGTGGTGTTTGAAGAATTTTGCTTGTAATAGCTGGTGGTGGTTGTGCCTATGTTGTGTGTTTGACAGGACACTGCAGCTCTATGGTGCCTCCTGTGGAACCTGGTGGGCATTGCCACCAGGTTCCTGGCCCTGTTATTGAGGGTTGTGGTCCTTGTGGTGTATCTCGACCCCTTCAGCCAGCTCTGTCTGGCACAGGTCCTGGTACAGTTGCCTATGCACCAGCTCTTTGTAACCAGAGCCTGCGAGCTGCAGAGTCATATACTGACCTAAGCTACTCAGTGCCAAGCACTCAGGCAGTCCTCCTCTGTCCCTGACAGGGATCCAATCAAGCACCACGCCACTTGTTTGTGGTAATTAGTGGCCCACCACAGGCTCATCCACCAGCTTCCTGGCCTTCATGGCAACCACCCCTTCCTGCTCCAGGGCTCTCACTCTAGCCTCCATTTTGTACCTAAATGAATATTTTCTTATGTTTGGATCCTATGCTGTCCTATTTTCTATTTTGAACACGGCCTAATTTGATCATATTTGTGTTTCATATTTTTCCTATTTGTTTACTATTCTTCGTTTTTTCCTCGAGACGTCCTCAACATTCATCATGTAACCATGCTTGTAATTCCCCAAGCAGTGCGTCCACACTGAGGGGTCCTTGCAGTAACCCGGGCGAACAGGGTGCTCTCATGTGGGCACTTGTTTTGGCTGCGCAGGCTCGCCGAAAAGTTCCGAAATCTCCAAGCGATTTTTGCTGCGCGGCGCAGGGTCGCGCGAAACGCTGGCCGCGGGACGGTGCTCGACAGAGGTGCGCTCTCGTTGTGGCGCCGTGCGCATTTTTGGACTTGGTGGTGACTTTCCGTGGCAGACGCAAGGGAAACCTCATGCTTCGGTGGTCCAAAGTCGACTTTTCGTGACAGGTGCAGGAGATCGGAGGAGGCAGAATTTGTGGCAAGCGCAGTACTTTGGACATGGTGGTGGTCTTCGGCATGCTCTGATTTCGTGGCAGGTGCAGTGAATCGTGACTTTTGTGCATGTGACTCGTTTTCAGAAGCCGTGGCAGGTCCAGTACTTCGTGGACCTTGAAGTGCAGATTTCGTGGCAGGCGCAGTACTTTGTGGACCTTGAAGTGTAAGATTTTGTGGCAGGTGGCGGGCGCAGTACGTTGTGGACCTTGAAGTGCAATTTCGTGACAGGTGCAGTATTTTGATGTATTTTGTGGACCTTGAAGTGCAGATTTCGTGGCGGGCGCAGTACTTTGTGGACCTTTCCCAGCTTGCGAACCCCCATGCACCACCATCACCACCATCATCACCACCATCACCATCGCTATCACCACCACCATCACCACGATCTCCACCTTCATCACTACCATCACCTGTCTGGACCCCAATGCGTCTAGATCTCTAGACTTTCTGCTGCTACACCTCTAGACCTCAAACCCACTCTTTGGGGTCTCTTGCCGGGATAATATTCTTTGAAATAGGAACAACATATGTAAAAAGTAAAAATAAAAATATGAAAAACATCGGGAAAAACACATGTACAATAATAAACAGAACGGCAGGCCCTGGAAGTGCACTTTTTCACCAATTTTGAGTGATCTGGAGGTGCTTTTTAAGTAAATTTCAAGGATCTACTGAGATTAATTCACAGCACCAGTACTGCCAAGGACATCTCAACTGCTGTACTCTGAAAAATGCACAGGCTTAAAAAAAAGCAAAACAAAAACAATCCTAGAAGACTCTTTGGTGAGTAAACAAAACAGATCATGACTCAATGAGTATACTTGGGGAAATACTTGTGTTAAGCCAAAACTAGCAGATGAAGGCAGACATGTCAGATAACTTAGTAGAGCTCAAAAATTGGTGAAAAAGTGCACTTCCACAGCCTGCCGGACTCAACATAAATTGGTTGTGCTCAATTTAAAAGAACGAAAAGGACAATAGGATCCAACTATGAAACAATAGGAACAAAATTGGTCTCGGCTGGGAGGCCGGGGTCTGGGGTCTGGGGTCTATCTGGGTAGTGGTCTCGGCTGGGAGGCCGGCGAGCCAGTCCGGAGTCCTAGGAATACGAGTAAGCCGGCTCAGGCCAAGGGTTCCAACGTCTCCTATCAACACTCATCCCAAATGGCTTTTTGTCCTGGCGCGCTACAAGTTTGCAGCTTTAGCCACGTTCACATCATCCTAAAGCTAAACAGCTAGCATTTGCCTATATTTATGTTGTCTTTTCCTACTCTAGTCAGTCCAGTCAGCATCGTCATCTTCATGTTTTTTCCTATTTCATGTTTAGTCTTTTCTTCAGCCCTATTTGTTTGTTCCAAATTGGGGTTCCTTTGTTTCATATTTATTCCTAAAACATAGTTATTTCTGAAAACAATAGAAAGTGCAACAATTGTGCAACATTTGTTCATAACATTACGTTTTTTTTTTTTTTTTTAAAGCAGTTCACACTGCTGAACATTCTTGTCAGTGTATCAGAGCTTCTCTTCAAACAATCTTCAAACAACAATTCCACGTGGCTGTTTGGGATATTGGATGAAACAAAACTGCACAGCGAACGCACCACCATACACAAGGTTCTAATTTGAAGAAAAACAAACCACAGGACCTCGCATTTTCACTATAAGTGATTCTTTGATATCATATCTGTTTCTTCAAAAGCATCCATTGAAAAAAACGTTTTCACCAAGCCTTCAAGCCACCAACTAGTCACTAGTCTCGACGAATCTCCTGTCCTCTCGTCCTCGAAAATCCTGGTCCGAACTCCGAGGAACCGCCATCTCCAGAGGTGCAAGCACCGATTGTCCGCGCAGCGTGTCCAAACGATCCTCGCATTGCATGGCCGCCTCCTGCGGAGTCACACGGACGAACCGTTCGTCCGAGCCCGTTCTCCATCGAAATTCCAAAAGGGGATCCAGCAAACGGATTAGGACCGTCCGGATGGGTTTGGACTCCTGGAGAGGTTTTTGGGTAAACACATCCCGGAGAGATGCAGTCTGAAAGTGTGCCTGAAGCTCATTCAAGGGCGATGGCACGTCATCACTTGCGAAGAGCTCTAAGATATGAACTGCCTGTCCGCGCGAGCCCCACACGAGAGTCGAATTGTCGCTCTCAAACGTGCAGAAAAGGAAGAGCCAAAAACAGCCCTGGGGTCGGTGAAGCCACAGAAAGCTGGAATGATGAGAAGAAATAATAGCTACACAGGAAAAGTGTTCAGGTTGCAATTGAGGGGCGTTCTGGTTGTAGATTCTTGGTTGTATTCTTATGATTTGTTATACTTTACTATGCATGCATTGGAGTTCCCATTCTACAAACGGTCCGATCTGCCAGTACTGACAGGTCCGCATGCCACGTTGAACTCTGGAAGCTGTCATTGTACTGTCACAGGTGGCGTTCTTTGTGCCAATGCTTGGTTCTATCCGGGTTCGGGCTGTCCCCAACGCTAGCCTTGCTTGGTTGACAAATGGCGAGCGATAAAGAGAGAACCAAACAACCATCCCGCTGCATAAATTCAAGTTCTTGATTCAGCTTCTTCACTGCTAGCTGATCCTCATCTATGGAATTTTGTTGGAGCTGCACAATCAGTACCCATGACACTATGACTGGCCCGTAATTAGGCGTCCAAGAGGCACGCTTCAGTTCATAGGCTGTGCAATTTGGAGAGACTGTCATTCCCAGTGGGTTTTTGGTTTAAAGCAGTCCAGCAGGCGCCTGGAGGCCATCGCTACTAGGGACCTCACAAAACCAAACAGTCCTTACCCACCTCTCTGATCTGCGAAGGTCCAAAAGAATGTTGTGTACCGCTTAGGCTATCTGCAGGACCTGCAAATCCTGCAGTAAATATGCCCATGTATATGATGCCTGAGGGAATATGATCATTACCAGTCACAGTGGATGATGATGGTTAGGTTGCAGGCCTTCCTCAAAAAAAAGTGACGTTCTTGTTGACCGACTGTTTCAGGTTCGTGGGACCAACCGGATGCCATTTGATGTCTTTTCTTCCTGCAGACCCCGGTCACCTGGGACAAACCCCCTCGTTCTCGTTGTCTCCACGAGATCTCCCGAGAGCTCTCGTTCTTTGCCTCCCGAGAGCTCATCTGCAAGGGCCTCACCATCGCTTCCTCAGATCAACGTGCAAAACGAGGAAAACGTGGTTCGTTCAAGGGCCCTGAATCAGAAAAGGGCTCTCCAGAGCTCATTCTAGGCAAGCACATCGTGTTTTTCCGGCTCTGGGGACATGTGAGCTCTTGTTGCCTCACTAGCCCAAAAGTTTGGGTAACATGCAAAGGTAGGGTGTAACAAGAAATGTTTTTTGACGAACATTGGTCCAAACGAATCGTTTTGAATCTGTTTGGGGTCTATGCGGGTATAATTTTGCCAAACATGAAGAACAGCTGCGGAGATTGGCAAAAATACACACTTGGAACGGCATGTCACTGGGGAATGCAGAACTAGGACGCGCAAAAACAGGTGCAAAGCACTCTGGATCAGCTCCTGATGTTTTTGCAAGACCCACCACAGAATCCATCACATATGCATTACACGCAGAGCAGCGGCACAAACAGTGTAGAAAATTCACACAAAACCACGGGGCAAATCCCTTGTGCCCCTGCCGGCGGCGGTGAAAGTCTCCGCGGCTCCCTGTACCTCGCTGCCGAAAGGCAAACTCTTGGACGGTGAGCTTGGCGGTATCGTCCAGCTCGTCTCAGTATCAAGGCACGAGAAAAAGGGTATTAAACAAACACAATGCATTTTTTTATATACAGCGCTGAAGGACAGTGAGATAGGACTAGTGAAACCATGGGTGAAAGAGCCTGGCCTATGCGTTTCTCCTCCTAGCTCATTGGGACAGAACATACAAAAATGAACCACGCACCACACACCACACACATGTCACACATTGATGTTGTCTCATAAATGTTAAATGACCCATGTTTTTGTTGGAGGTGTTTGATATTTTTCACCACGCATGACCTACGAGTCCTAGGATCATGTCACCAAATGGCCACATGGCAAAACGCCATATTACATTTTGTAATATTTTGTATATAAGAAGAACCAGGGCAGCAAGAAACCAGGGCATATAGCTAGTCGGCAGTCGGCAGAACTCAGCCTGCCGTCTAGTCATGAAGCGCCCTTGTGTCTCTGAATGGGCCATCGTCTGTACTGTCAGCACGTCCACAACGGCAACCAAGTCATCCTGCTGTGTACTACATTTGGCAACCGGACGTCTTACTGCAGACTTACAGTAATCGCAATGGTGGCACAAAACACACCATATAAACACTCAACAAAAGTAACAAAACCAAATCCCACATCGAAACACAAATATACAACAAGGACCTTCAAAGTGACCGAACTTGAGATCCCATGATGAGGTCACAAACAGGCCTGCAAAAGGTCACTGGATGAGATAACAAAAATGGTCACGAACTGTCCCCGTGGGGTCTCTGGCGGCCATGGTCTCTGGTAGGAAGATCCAGAAAGCTTGGAGACAAATGGACTCTCCAAGGTTCCACAGCATTGATGAAAAGAGATGAATCGAACTGTTCATGATCTCTAACTTTCTGTTGTTTCTGAAGCCATTGATCTGCTTTTTGTCTCAGCGTGCACTTCAAAAGACCTGATACGTGTCTCATCGAAAAGAAACATGAACATGGCCCCACTGTGTGTCAAACCCTGGCTCCGCTCATACAGTAACCCAAACATGTACTGTCGGCAGACGAGGAAGGTCGGGTCGAAGCCTGGACCCGGTCCGGTTTGGATCCAGCGATCACTTCCGAGATCCAAAGCCTTTTGACCCAAGAAAACACAGGGACAAAAGGCTTTTGGGTTTGGTCATCCATCTCCGCAAAGGTCTACGCTGAGCAGCTGGTTAACTTGGGCAAGATCTGATCGCAGGTGGCGTGGATCTTCCTGGGCGATGTGAGAGGAACAAGCGTGACCCCCCCGAGTCCTTACATCGCAAGGTGACGATGTAGGATGATGTAGAAAACAGAATGGACATGAGGGACGGTGAAAAACTCCCTGTTCTTCTTCAACGAACAATTGGACGTCATCGGATTTGAATTGGACCTTATCGTCTTTTTTTTTACAGTGTTCTGAGTTCGCCGCATACTTATGATCATATACAGCGCTGGGGTTATCGGTTTTGAGGTGGACCTTGTCCACAAACCAACCCCTCTTTACGGTCTTCGCATGTTTAACGACCGTAGCTCACATGCTGAAAACTCCACGCAAAGTGGGACCACGAGTTGGAAGAAGTCGTGTATTTTTTCGTACAAGTCTGACTTGATTGGTCGCTGGAGTGGTTGGGAACACGGACAAATGCATCCAGTTGGGAATGAACAATATGAACAGAGTCATGTTTATATATATATATATATTATAACGGGGCTTTCTCCAATTGCTTCAAATTGATAGCAGCTCCGCATCTTGTTGATCTCCACCTGCGAACGATACATTCATCCAGTACTGCAACAATGGACATGTTGCTTCTGAAAAGAATTCAACTCTTCTGCATTGTGGATCATGGTTTTAGGATGGGCGGAACCAATCCAAAGCCCTCTTACGGAAGCGGCCTTTGTAGGTTGGAGGCCATTGCTAGTAGGTTGGAGGCTATTCCTATTGGGTTCCCTTTGCGAGTAGGTCAATCACTTATCCAGGTCTCCAGTCACTCCAGTCTCCCAGCTCCACAGATCGATCTTCACCGAGCTGCGACTGAAGCTTCTTCACCAAGGTGTCCAAGCCGGTAGTGCACTGTTGGGACAAGCCGTTCAGCTGAGCACCTGGTGGATTCAGCTGCTTGGTCTGTAACATGCCAAGGTTGCATCTATAAAATGATGCCCTCCAGCAGGTGGTTGTGGAGCAGTTTCTCAATCAGTTTCTGATGACTGCACAAATCTCCAATAAAATACTTGGCCCTAGCTTGAGTTCCCGCATCAAACATGAATTGCCTCCTGATTTCAGAATGGGGAAGGATACGAGCGCCCCAGAAAATCTTTTGTCTGGGTGCTGAAACATGTATACGAGGAACTGGTCACACATTTGTTCAGTGTCTGCAATTCTTTTCCAGTATCAGTATATATGAACTGACATCAGTTTGACTCTGCTTAAGCATCACCAACGAGCCCGACAAGATAAACAGGGCAAACCTGATCATGATCTTCCCAGCTAGTATTCATCGTTCTAGCTTTCTCAAGGGCTCGAGGCTTGAACCCTCATTCAAGACCTTTGTACCAAAGCATCGATATCGACGAGCTACAAACGAGCAAAACCCCAAATGGGTTGGTGAGATGTTGGTGAGGACAACCGTCCAGATTCTCCACCAGGTTGCGGTGGCTCAAATGCTAGGCTAGGCTTTTTCGTGCTAGCTCTGTCTATTAATACATCGACATGATTTGTGAAATATTCGTCTCCACCCTGGAGGAACTGAAAATCCAAGTCGCTTTCAAATCCTTTCAACGATTTGCTCAGGCGTTGACTTTCACGGATCATCCTGACGCGACCGGTGCGCGACCGGCTTCATCCGAAGGGCCAGGTGAAGGTGTTTTGGGGATGTTCGTTGGACATACATGGCAACCACGCCGCATAAATCTGAGATGTGGGATCTCCAATGGCCAACATACGATATTTTTCGAGTGGTCATGACATGCCATGACCAAACCATTGAAGATGCCGATCTCCATACTAACCTATTATGTTTATATACTTTAAACATTCTTTCTATAAACTGGTGGAGAAAGAAAGACCTTTAGCAAATGGAAGGAATGCCCCGCAAGGCCTCGTCTTTTTTAGAGGCGTCTCTCCAATCACATCATCACATCCAAAATTGGAATCTAAACTTCTCAGTTTTGGGCCCAAACTTCTCAGCATCCCCAAGGGCATCGCTACGAACGGAGCGATCGGACGCTACTATATAGGGGCTCCTGGCCTTACTACTAGGAACAAGGACGCTACTAGGAGCCAAGGGCATCGCTACGAACGGAGCAAGGACGCTACTTATACCAGAACTTCGCAGCTTGGTCCCAAGCTCTGCCCCTCCCCAAGCGGCCGCCTGTAGAGCTGCACCCGAGGCTTACTGAGCTGGTACTGCTGATTCCAGACCGCCAAACCGCCCTGGTGCGAGGCGGCGGCAGTCAAAACGGTCCGGACTCCGAACTGCGATAGTTGTTGGAAGGAATGCCTTGGGATCGATACTTCCAATATATTTGACAACTTAGAACATCAACTATATAACAATATACAGTAACAACATGTTTGCCCTGAAGACAAGTAAAGACACGCTGCGAGCCATTTGGGAGCAATCAAAGCCGGAGCCAACACTCCCTCCAACCAAACATCGTGGACAGTTCAAGTTCAGCTGACCATTCAATCAGTGGCTTCACCCGATCTTCAGCCGTCCATGTGAATCCCTCACCACCCGAAGCCAAGAATGAGCTATTCCCGCTGTGGCCTTTGTTTGAGCAGCTTGACTCAGCGTGGTCACCAAGCCCGTTTGGCCACAAGGTCCCTGACATGTGCTTGCCGTAGCATGCGCAAGCATTGCATCGAAAGCGGTATAAAAATAAATGGATATGCCGCGAAACCCTTCAACCGGCGCAAGGCTCAATCGTTGCAACCCCTCAAGATATACTATATAAGGCTCCTGGGTGTATCGCAGGACTTATGTCCATGGGGTATGCTGCGAATTGCCTCCGAAGATATGAAAGTCGACACCCAAAGCTGATTGTCGCAAAATGTCTGTGATGTTGCCAAGCTCACTAGATATCCCATTTTTTTGAACGCACATTTCTTAAAAAAAAAACACACACATTGATTACTGTGTGCACTGAAAACCATGCACAACTAACAGTCATGAACCGCACTGACTTGGCAGTAACATACATGTATAACTGTATAATGTGCAATACATGTCAACATGGCAGGAACAAACAACAAGTTCTCTCCATAGTCCACTCTTTTTCACCCAATTCGTCCTCCAGGCGCGACGCGGCTTGCTCTTCGGCCACCAGGGTGAGATCAGCCAAGGTCAACGTGCGCAAGGACTCCTTGTCGGTGGCCCTTGGAGTCGAGTCCGCGCTTCGTTCCAACGGATCTCGACCGGTCTCGACCCGGTCTCGACACGCATCGAAGCGTGTCTGGGCCCAAGATCAGGTGTCCTTTCTGTGGCGTCTGAAAACGAAGTTCCTACAACTGCAATGAGGCGAGGTGACGTTCCGAAATTCACAGCCTGGATGCCCAAAACTCTCGATGTGTTCGGCCGATGAGAGTTCGAACAATACAAAATCCGCCAGCAAATTTTTGGGACTTTGAGTTCAATGTGAAAGAGGATCCACGTGTAGATGGATATTGGATGATATTGGAAGCCTAAGCCTTTCGTACATCCTACTCTGGAGAGAACATGTAGATATAGCTGTCTCTTCACATATGCTCCAAACATGTCGTAGGAATGTCAATCTATTGCAATAATTTTTATCAAGTGGATGATGATGGTCGGTTAGCAAAGACCTTTCTCAAAAATGGTGATAATCTTTTAGAGACTCTCAAGGGACACACCCTACAGTAAATACTTTACAGTACAACAAGCAGAAACTCACTCTTGGTGTTGGACGTCCAAAGGACTCAAAGTGAGCTAGCTCCATCGTGAGGATTCAGGCGATAAATCTTTGACCCAAGTTGAGGATCCTGGAAGCGAAATTCCAAACGCTTGAAACTCAAAACGACCATCCAAAGTAAGACACAACCACAATCAAAAAACCTTGTGTCCTTTGCTGACACCTGGTGATACTGGGCACACGAGTTAAGGCACGAGTTGCGCTCACGAGCTGCGCTTAGTGAGAAGCGCTTCTGCCACTAAGGCACTTGCTTTGCACCACCCGGCGTGCCATGGCACGCTGCAAGGCCTGGAACATGCGCGGATTTGAGTGCTGCGTAGCGCTGAGAGCATCGTTTTCACATGGTGAAGTCCTTCACACAACACCCGGCAGACCCAGCACCTTGTAACTCATTGAAACTCCTTTTCACATGCTGAATAAGAGAAGAAGCTGCACGCAGCTTGGTCAAAGGCACTGCCAGATTTAGTCTCCCGACTTCCAACAACAGTTCTCACATGGCTCAACGAGTTCGCTGGTGGGCATTGTTCCTTTCGCCACACCCAATTTTGCCCAATTTCGCTACACCCAATGTGGATCTTGTGTTGTGTTGACCCCCGTTGCCTGTCCTTCCCATCAATCATTCCAGATTCACAGGTCATTGCTTCGCTTCTGAATGACCTTCCGCGCCTCTATGACGTTCCGCACCGTTCGGCCGTTGCCATTCTCGCGCGAGGGGTGGCAGTCGGCATCGGCGACGTTGTTACCTTAGTCCGGTTGTGCCAGTGGCCAAGCGCTGAGAGCGTGGTATTTGATGATTGCGTGAGCGCAGTCAGCTATACCAGGGCTCCTGTTTCGGGTGTCCATCCCAAAACCCTTAATCATAGAGGCTAAGGGGTGTCCATTATTTTATGACTTTAACTACCTCTTGTGGATTGTGATGAATATGAATATATGTTGTTTCGTGCTGTTTACGGGGGATCTGATGTTTCCCAAACATCTACACGGTGAAAGCGCACACCCAGCGGATCAAGCAGCAGCATCCACTCGTGAAGGCGATCAAATCCTCCAAGCGTTGAGATGCCTGGGAGCGAGGGCGGTGAGTCAATTCGGAGTGAGCGTCAATTCGGAGCGGCCTCTCCGAAACGGACCACGAACCACGGATGAAACCCAAACGGACGAAAAAAAAAAAAAAAACGTCAGGTCGCTGAATCGAATTCGGTCGGCTTTGCTGATTGAATTCGGCCGATCCAAATCACCAATTCGGCCGATCGGTACGTTGCTGAATTGCTTCTTTTATTTGGGGGGATACTACTTTCTTGGCAGCTCCCGTCTGATGAGCCTGGCATGGCCAGTTGACTCATCACTCATCTGGCCACGCCCTTGCAACCCTAGCAGTTTACAAGTCAGACACGAGCATGGAAGAACCAAAGTCCTCTCCTACCAGTTTGGAGCTTCAAGAAGCAAAGAGTAGATTGAGTCCTCTCCTCCCATGGTAGATGGGGGCCAGTGAGGCCGACAAGGATCGAAGTCGCCACACCAATCAATACAGTTACCTTTAATATATACCATAGAAAACTGAAAAGCTGCGAACTAGCTGCAAACTCCACCACCCCATGACCTCAAAGAATCTACAGTATTCGCAGAAAGTCAAAGACTTCCCCCGCCTGGTCAGCCACCACCAAGCCTTGAGAATCCAGGACCTCGTTGAAAGGCTGGGAGCTCCAGCAAAACAAACTCGTAAAATTGGGCGTATCCTTGCTAGTGGAAATACCTTTCTTTCGCCCCTCCCCCCAAAAAAGGTCAATATTTTGAACAAATCAACATCAACGGTATTCAAAGGTGCTTGGATGGCTCTATCTGTTGGGTGCCAACAAACAAACTAGACCTGAATCGGGATGATCTTTGAAACAGCTTCTTGAGCACCTTTGGCCACACCAGGGACTCCAATGTGACTCTTCAAGGTTCAGGGCGAGCTTTGTCTGTCCGTGACTCACTCACTCAGTTCAGTGATGTTCAGTGGCAACTGACACAAACATGGTGTGGTACCCTGGGCTTCTGTCACTCGGATTGTGGAGGAAACAACTTTGGTCAAGTGACTCTCAATCATCAATTTCAAAGAAACAATGGAGCTACGGCCAAAACCTGGAGGAGAAAACCTCACACTGAATGGTTGTAACTCCCACAAAACCATCAATTTGAATAAATTTGTCTTTTTTGCCCTAGCTGTGTTAAATGATCTGTCTCTCTCTCTCTCTCCATAGATATCTATGTATGTTATATTGTAATATATGGTGTCTTTGAGAACCGGTCAGAACATCCTTAAACCCGCCTCCAGCTCAGTCCGACGAACATGATGGCTTGTGGACCCTGTAAACAAGGGATTCACTGGTAGATCCATCGAAAACACCAAGGAGTCAAAGCGTTTTGGCTTCTTGCTCGTATTGAGCGACATCAAATACAATACTATATGTATATATATATATACGATAATTTGTCTGAACTACGTATGTAGATTCATTTCACCCAGAATACCGAGGGCTTGGCAGTTGATACCACAGGAAACTGAAATTACAGTAGAGTAACTGTTGAAGGTTCCCAATGGAAGTATGCCTCCAAAGCATCCCCAATCATCCAACAATCGGACCAAATTCTCAACTGCAGTACTATATAGACTAAATCAATCACTCAGCACTCAGGAATCACTACATTAAAATACTTGCCAGGACGATCCAGCTCCTTGCTCAACCTGTTTTGGTGCATCTCTGTTGATTCTCAATCTGCACGGTTATGGCATGCAAAAGTCTGATCTTGGCCCTGGTGGGCCAAAACCTTCCTGAAACTTCCTCATCCCAATGCAAAGAAATCAATCGCTAGTAGTAACAAGTGCATCGCTACTAGAAACAAGGGCATTACTACTGGTAGCAAGGGCATTAATTACATTTGAAGGGCCAGCACTGGTGAGGGCCAGCACTGGTGACTCAAGACTCCTTGCAAAATGAGAAGTTCCTTATCTTCACTTCCTTCGAACCACTCTCCCACTTGACACCCCGAAGCCTTCGAGAAGGCTGAAGCAGTACACGCGCCAACAATAAAGAGTTCAGATCTGATGTCTGAGCGACCAAACTGCCAATTTGACCCAGCTCATTGCAACTGTAGTCCTGCTCATTGCTGCGCTGACTCAGGTTTGTCTGAAAATCTTGGTTTGGTGAGTCATGTTCAGGCCCATCTAGCAGGGGTGGAATCAACTCAAATACTATGCCGAAAAGCCGTGGGATGGCCATCTTCCCACATTCAAATCACTTCACACGCATCCTCTCATCCCCTCCCCGAGCCCATTCCCAATCCCATTCCAAACACCAATATGTTTGCGGTAAAACACACGCGCCTCAAAGCGGAAGGTGAAGGGCACGCGGCTTTTGAACCCTGGATTGGAATCAAAGAAACTATCCATCTCAGTCTCCTGGGACGCGTCGAAATCCGTCGGATGTCGTGATGAAAAACGGGTTCCGTTTTTCGGTCGACAAAAACGGATGGCAATTGTTAAACTTCTGGTGCCAAGGGTGCCAGCCAAAGAAACCAAACATACAGAAGTGGAACTGTGGGAGGACTTTGGCTTTGTGCTAGATCCATGATACTTTCATATATACTTTCGATTGCTCGGCAGGAAGAATAACTGCAAGTACGTAGGATTCTGCTGCAAGTGTTTTTCATTCAAGAGTTGACCTTTGAGAATCATAGAGATGCCTGAGAATGTCTATTGCTAGATCGGCTACGTGTTTTTCTCAAACAACTTGTTTATTGTCCAGAATGATGAGCTCAGGCGAGGACATGCAAATGGAATCAACTCCTTATCACCCTCATCGTCCAAAGCAGAACACCCTGCACGTGCTACAAGTGGAGTGTGGGATTCAGCCGAGGAGCGTAGCCCGCCAAGATGACGATGACGTTCTTTCGCTTGTCCTCCATCTCCTTGATCAGCGTGTCGACAGCCTCTTGCCCGAAGCTGTCCTCACAGGCCAGTTCTTCAGGAAGCAAGCATTCTGGAGCAGAGAACTGCCGATGTCAGGGTCTAGGGTTTCGCGGTTCGCAAACCTAGACACGGTACACATCAGTATACCTATCCGATCTATCCTTCTGTGTGGCTGACCAGCAAGCCAACTCCTAGCGGTGACCCAGAAGCACCGTGCTGCACATCGTGCTGCACGCTGTGCTGCATGCATACGCTGCACGCCGTGCTGCACGCCATGCTGCACGCCGTACACACCAAACACCTGAAGCTTCTGATTCGGATCGGGTCTGATTCTGGGTCCTTTCCATCACGCACCAAGGCGTAAGCTTCATCGATGAAAAGCACTCCACCCAGGGCCTCCCCGACGGCCTTCTCCACCTGCGTTGTGGACAGGTAACGAATCATCAAGATCTTGGAGTTGCTCCAGTCTTCACAGGAAACCCTGAGCATGTGTTATCATTGTTCATGTTTTACCCTGCAAAATGTTGTGCATGTATGCTGTATGCAACAAATTTTGGCGACCCTGGCTACCCGTTTGGAGACCCTGGCTGAAACAATCTCTATCTTCAAAAGGGGTCAAAAGGGTTCGAAGTCAGAAGACCCACAGAACAACAAACTCAACATATCGCCATAACTCTTCACGCACATCCACGCACTATGCTCGGCTTGGCACCACTAAAACTTAAAACTTCAGCCGTTGATTTGGGTTTCTATGTTCAAAGAAAACCCCCATCAATGGCTTTTGGTATATGTCCTTTCTTCCAAGGGTCTTTAAGAGTCTCCCTATTTAAAAAACACACCAATATACAGATCGTCAAGTTGTTATTTTTCTTTGCAGAGTTTCGCGGCCATCCAGTGTAACAGCAGCTTCTCCTCTCAGCCCACCTTCGGGGCAGTCTGGCCCAGATATTGAGCCACCATATCCTTAGAAAACATCGTTGTGTTCAACAAGAGAACACCATGTTCTCAAAGGTTGCCAATGACAACTGTTCACCTCACCCGACTTGGGGGCTCTGTTGCTACCCATCTCTCTCGGAACTGAACCGCAGCGCAACTCGCTGTTGGTGGGAACTGCGGCAACCAAGGCTCAACTCGCGCAGCTTCCTTGAAGATCAACGGCAACTCCACCTGGTTTCGCATTCATCAAACTGGTGCCCCAGTACGTTCCCTCAGAGCAAGAGATCCGATACAGGGTTATGCATTGGATGCAAGTAATTACCCCTCCGAGCAAACAAATATCCACCACAATACAGGAAAGTAGTCTTTCCGATGCCTCCAATGTTGGTAAGGATGTTTAAGGAAGTGTATAGTATATATAAACACGACCTCAGTTTACTTTTCCCACGCGTTGCAGAAAGTTTGTCTACAAAAGCAACGAACTCATGCCTACAATTACCTCTCGGGGCCCCGACTCTCTGTTCCCTCGCCAAACCGACAGGAACAGAGAGCCCCCCAGTATCCCCTGAGGCCACATCCGCCAAACCGGATGTCCCCCAGGCTCGAATACTATATGAGAGGGAAACCATCATTTGACTCACTCCAGTCTTTTAATGTGGTTTCATTGATTTCTCACCCCCGAGAAATCGAGCCGCGGATTCGGAAAAAATAAAACACTCAATCTTTCGGCTTGCCCTTCTTGGCTCGTCCCCCTGATCTGCAAGGCCTTAAAGGCGGTGCAGGCTCAAGGGTTGGGCTCTTGCGATACAAGTTCAGGTAAGGAATCAAGGATGAGTTCGACAGAGACATATCCGCTAACTGTGCTAAACCGTCGTTCAAATATATACGGGCGGTACGGGCGGCTGCCCACCGCCCCTGGACAAGGAGAGTATCGAACGATCCGCGGTGGTTAAAATGGAACGTCGCCCCACCACGTCTCAAACTGTAGGGTCTGAAGTGCTGGTCAGTCAGGTGCAGTGCATCAATGGCACGAGCAAACAAAGCTCGCCAAGCATGAGGTTTGAGAGTTAAAAAGGCAGTTGGGGGATTCTGTTGTTTCCAACGCCATAGAGCTGGGAGGATGGACTGCTCATGCAGTGTTACACTCTCGGCCGCCCCTTGGCGTGCGCCTCCCTTAGTCAGGCCTAACGAGAGTACAGCCGGTCCTTTCGGCCCTGGGATGAACACATCCTTTGCCCGTAGGCTCAAAAGTTCTCCTGTGCGCAACAGACCAAAGAAGGCCACACGAAGCGACAAACCAAAGGTAGGACAATCGTTAAAAATTGACCAGCCACAGAGAGCATCCAGAACCTGAAGGGTAAGTGGCAGCGCCCGATTCGGGATCTCAACAGATGTCCAGGCCTTCAACAACCGCCAACTTCCAGGGAGTTTGCCCTTGAGTGACGGATCACGGTCCAGTAGCGCTGCCAAAGTGTTGTTGGCAATGGATTTCCCTTCGCCTGTGGCCCAGAGGTGTTCAAGGTAGTCACTAACTAGACCATCGAGGAGAGTTTGCCGCTTTGGGAGGACTAAACCCTCCCCTGCTAACCAGTCAAAGAACCGATTCAAGCAGTCTGTATATCGTTCTCTAGTGCGAGGTTGAACTGTGAGCCCTTTGAGTGAACCTAGCTTACTGCGGACTTTCTTGCGCTCCTGCTGGCTTTTTCCTTCCATTACTTTCGTGGTTTTCTTCCCCATTTCCGATGTAATGGTCTCCGCGACGGCCGATCGGCCGGGTTCTGGTGTGTGTCCACGTAGGCCCACACACCGACAAGCCCACTTGCCAACTGAAGCGCTCCAATCCTACACCGGTTCTCCTCAACCGCCGGCTCGACGATCTCCCTCTCGACAATGCGTGCAACACCACAAGAGAATCGATCAAATGCAAAAAGCGGCATGCTCCTTCCTCAAGCTCTTTCAACCTCCAGACGATGGCTGTTTTAACAGCACGCAATTCCAAGGCGTTGATGTGCTCTGCAGCACCCGTCCAGCGCCAACCTGCCACATCCTTCCAACGCCAGAGCTTACTGGGAATCGATGCTCGCAACCTATGGTAACGCGCTGGGAGATCACTGCACAACTGAAGCAGGATGTCTTCTCCCTTGACAGAAACTTGGCCTAAGAGGCGCGGAACTAGCCCGACTGATGGCGCCCCCGCCTTGGTAGTTTGACGTAGGGGAGGTCGAAGCAGCAGGCTTCCAAGGTTCTGGTCCCTTCCACGTGTCAACCGCAAGACAAGCGTAGCCACGTCCAGCGACGGCAACAGACCAAGGGTGCGAAAAAGGCAGTAAAGCAAGTAGACCACTACCGGAATCGACCAACTGTTGCCCAGCAAGGTGAGCCTACAATCATTGTGAGCTGGCTTTCCCTCCACGCTTTTAACCATGCACCGTCGGGCGTAGTCCAAAGGGAACCCCAGAATTGCTTCTCTCTCCTTGACTGAAGGAACTCGAACCTCACCAGACCTGTTTGCACACAGTTTTCAGCCCGGTATTGGTAAGGCGGGAAGCGGTGCAGGTCCGCCATCCACCTAGCAACTGCGTCCGGGGGACACAAGCTGAGTCCCGCGGGGCGGCGACCCGGCACAGGCGACGGTCTTGCAGTTGTAAACGTGGGCAAGGGACTGTCAGGTCGAACTCGATGCCAACCTGCCTCCAGGAAATCTTGCTCGTCCAGCTTCGCCTCAAGATCCACACGCCCTTTCACTGGGAGAGCACCTTCCCTCCCTTCAACGACCGTGGCACCCGGCATGCTCCAAGGATCCCACCTGCACCAGTACAACCTTGGCCGCCTAGCGAGACTCACCTTTCCTGCATCTATCAGCCATGGGGCCGTCTCATAGGCCAGCGACATAGTCTCACAGTCATGGGCGTCCATCGAAGCGACGTTTTCGACAAGCCACCCAGACTGGCGTATCTGAGGGTTTTCAAGTAGATGTCATTTATGAAGGGTTTTGAGGTTGATATGGCCTATCGGCTTGAAAACCCCTGCAACAAGAGTTCATCTTGTGTTTGTGGGCAAGTTTGGGCTCACAGCGGGGGAGCGCTGTGCTTGGGGTCCTTGTCAGCTTTAGCCTCAGATCAAGTGCTGTTGCGCGCTGGAAGAGGTCTTCGTGTAGTGTGTTACTGTAATGTGTGTTACCTGAACCCTGAAACACGACCATAGAACACATGCCATGAGCATGAGCATGTGCATTGGCATAGTAGAAACCATGCCATGAGCATGACCATGGTAAATTGGAACCACGCCATGAGCATGAGCATGTCTTCGAACCATGTACATGTTCACACTAACGGGTCATGAGTGTGTGTGAACATTTGCGTTTCTAACCGCAGCGTTTCAACTCAAGATGGAGACCTCAGCTGGCGGAAAGGAGCAGGTGCATTCACGCATTTATTGGGGCAGGGAGATCAAACAAACTGATCGCTGGCAGGCTATGGCTCAGGAGAAAGCTGCGCTTTCGATGGGCGTTCAGAGCTTGGGCAGCAACTACATTACACTTTGAATTTTTGTGCATTGAGGCATCTGCAAAGGCGAAGCCTCGGCGCGTGGTCTCAGAAGTGGAGCAGTACCCGCCACCCATGCCAAAGCACCAGCCCAATCCAAAGCAAGAACAAAAGGGTGACGAGAAGCCACCTGCCAAGGACTTCATCCATGTGCATGAGCATGTGCACGGACATGATCATCCGAGAACAGTCAGTCATGTTGCCAGGATGACATGTTGTTGAAGGAGGAAGTACCAGCCCCTTCCACCAGCCCTAAACCAGCTGGTGAGCCTGTGGCACCGGAAGAAGACAATGGCCGGCCTGAAGACCCAAGGATTTGGCCCCCAGATAAGAGACTGAAGACAACTTCTAGGGCTACCAACTCGAAGGAAGGAGTTTTCAGGCACGCGTTCCTGCTTCCATGTAATTCCCTCCACTTGCCAGGCTCATGTGTGTTAGTTGTTTGATGGCAAACTTTGTGTTCGCACTTCCCCGAAGGTCGTCTGATGGCAAGGTTTGGAACTTGCCACCACCTGCTGTGCTCCCCATCAGGAGGTGGGTATTGCTGATTGAATTTTAGTGGCACCCTTCATGGATGCAGGCCTCTGCCGCGTCGAGATGATGTATGATGTGGCTGGCGCCTCATTGGACAAAGGTTCTTATAAATACAGCTAGCTGCTTCTTTTGTTTGAGGACTGGTGCTGCCCTACAGGAGGTTTCTGCTTGGAAAAGCTGCGCGTCGAGTGACATGCAGGGTGGGAGTGTCACTGCTTACTGAATGAGTAGCTGTGCCTTGGCTCTCTGTACAGCTCCTGAGGTCATGGCCTTTGTGAGTGGTTGCCTTATAGTGTGCCTGAGGGCCGTCAGGTATGTACCTTTCCCTAGATTCTTGCTCCAGGAAATGTCTTCCGTGCGGCACTTACAACTTCGCATGGGCACGTGCATGCGTATGCTGGGCAACTGTTCATGTTCGGTGCGCAGTTTTCATGGGCATGCTTAAAATGTTCCTGTCCAATGTTTTCATGCGCATGTGACATGTGCATGTGCATGCTCATATTGTTCATGTCCATGTGCATGTGCATGCGCGCGCTCATATGTCCACTGTTTCCATGGGCATGTGCACGCGCATGCCTGGCATGCACTTACCTGTCATGGCATGGGCATGTCAGCCATGAACATGCCCCAATTCTATATCAGAGTGAACATGTTCAGATTTGACCTGCCCAGGTCCTACTCCATGCAGCTTCCTCCAAACCGTCATGGGGTGCCCACATTCCAGGTCGCCGTCAATTTCCTGTCTAGGTTTTCTGTGCAACTCACACCTGATAGAGCCTTTTGGAAGCTGTTTGGGCTTCTCAACTCAGCACTGATTACTTAGTGTGCTGTTGCCCGGGATGCCACGGGAACTGAAGCAGCTTTGTGAAGACCCCAATCTTGTCAGCAAGTACTGCGCGGCCTTTTCAGCAGAAGTGGGAGACTTCTCTCCCTTCGGAGTCTCCTCTGCTGTCTTCTTTTTGGGAGAAGGCTCTCCCTTGCCAGCCTCCTCGTCAGACTCAGGGAACAGCCGCGCTAAAGAGTAGTAGGCTCCGTCCAAGATCTTAGTAGTCTTGGCCTCAGCCTCGGATGTGCTCGGGAGCCTCGAACTCGAAGCGGCAGCCTTGAGCCTCTCGAGAGAAGCGCACACGGTGCACTCGCCCGCAAGCAACCTCCACTTGCAGCACCGTGAGCAAGTTTGCATCGAACGTTTGAGCCCAATGCTACGTGGAATATTCAACTGATTCGTGTTTATTCATGTGGCCATAAAACCATATATATATATATATTGTACCGAATCGATCTACGCCAGCTCAAACATATACCATCTCTCGCACAATGGCACCGATCACGATCAATGTCATCGCTGGCTGGTCCATACGGAGCTATAGCAGTGCTTCTAAGCTGTGGGGTGAGTGGCCCAGGAACATGACATAGAACAAGGGATAAGTTTGGTCATAGTCATACTGTTTCTTTGTTCTATTATTCGTTCGGCATTTTGGTCTCTCCATGCTGCCTCCTTGTGGTCGACGCCTTCTCGGGTGCCCTGCATCTTGGCCTGAAGGAGCCGTTTGCGCGCTGACAGAGGCATCCCACGAACCACAGTCTTGGAATGTCTTGGTACATGCCCAAAGGACTGCGGAATGTAACTATGTTTTTTGCAAAAGAACACCTCTGCAAATCTGAGTCTGTCTTTAAAATCAGCCAAAACCCTTGCCATCACACGTAACCTTTGGCCTTCATTGGACGCATGGTTGGCATCAAAAAAGCAAGACTACAATAGTGCTTTTGTCAGGCTCCTTGTTTGGCCAACGCCACTGACCAGAGCCACAATCATTATCTTGAGGTGAAGAGTCAAGAGTCAAAAGTTCTTGTTAGACGCCGCAACATATGTTTCTTCTTGCAAACGCTGGTCATCACCAACCCAAAACACCACCGATGCCAGCCAATCACCAACCACTCGTTCATTCTCCCCATGACTTGAACGCGGCCCCCAAATGGCCACCCATTTCGCCTCCTCTTTCAGGCGCTTCTTCACCTCTTTCGGCATGGCCACCACGCCCATCTTCACCTCACCGCAACACGAAGGCGACGCTTGAAAAAGCGACGGAGGTCTTCAGCTCGAGGGATCGGCGAGAGTGGGACACATCGGTTTAGCCTTGTTGGGGTGAAACCCTGTGAGACCCAAAGCAGGCGAGAGAGTTCGGCTGTGCTGGGTGAGGGGATCGAAGGTTTGTTTGCATATCTATGGGATCCGACCATCGGGAACTGGCAGATCTAAGGCCTGCGGTCTGTGAGGTTGTCAAGTCGAACAGCCCCATTGTAGCGATGGCCTCCACCTAGTAGCTTCTAGCTACTAGCTTCTTGTTAGTATAGTAGTAATGCCCTTTGTCAAGTCGAACGGCCCCATTGGAGTCAGTTTTGTGCGTCGAGATGCCATCATCTCTCCCACGATGCGAGCCACGACAGTCTTCCCAGTGCCAGGATTTCCGAGAAAGCCTCGGATGCTCAGCTTATCACACTGGACAGTCAAAACCTAAACCTAGGAAGCATCAGACTTTACAGTGTCTTTATTGACTATCTCTCAGATCGTAAGGGATTTGGTATATCTATGTCCATCATATATTGATGATTTTGATATTTGTTTGTCAGCGACCATTGTTGGCCTTTGCAGTTTCAGAACATGCACAGTGCTGAACCCCAAGAAAACCCTGTCGGCGCACAGTGTTGTTCGCATGAAAACCCTGTCATCCAAGGGCATTCCCTGCCGGAGACTTGCAACGCAGTCCAAAGAGGGAAAGGAAAAAGGCTCGTCCCATCCAACTCCTATTTTTCACGGTTTAGGTACGTTTTCCCCTAATTATGCATAGAAAACCACTGAAAAATCTATATGTGCAGAGGTTTACTACAGGCACTCTGGGCCTTAACACTGGCTGGTATCCCCATGATGATGCACAAGAAGAGCTTCCATATGTTTGCATCATGTTTAATTATGTTCTATCTGAGTCATACTAGTTAGATGGTTGTAACTTGATGTAACTTGTAAATCTTGAAGTTGGCACTTATAAGGTATACATTTGAAATCATTCAAAGTGAACCGTTCGACCCAGCCGCCCGACGAGAGCGGGAAAAAATCGTACCATTGTTTCTTGTGATGAGAGCCATGCAGCGCATGTGGAAGGATTGGCCACCCAAGGAGCTCCTCAAGACGTGAATTGTGGAGGCCATGGCGTTTCCAGAGGGTTGGGAAACCCTGGATTCACAGAATCTGACAGGTTTTCGCCATTGACCAAACCTGCACTGAACCCGAACATCTGGGAACTGACCGACCACTGGAAAGCACAAAACACAACCAGGTGTCGTTCATGTTTGCTTCTCCGAAACAGAAACCAAGAGCCGTTGGGCCGTCTGTGCTCAAGGGAGACTTTTGAATAGCCAGATTGAGTTTTGGTAAGTGGAATTAGACAATCAACCCTCGACGTCCACACAGTCGTTGAACAAATCAGCAACACTCACAGACTCACAGTCTTAGTCTTAGTGAAGAAACTCAAGAGTCAGCTCATCTGACCATTGACAGCTGATTTGCTGAGACAAACCCCTTCCACCCCTGGGCCCTTTGATGCCTAAAGTTGGCACAAAGGAATTGAACAAATCCACCGACCCCGGTCTAGGCCGATGAACGTGAGCGTGAGCGGTGGGCGATGTCACGTTGCCGTCACATTGACAACATTTGCCAAAAGATTCCCATTTCAATGACATGTGTCTAAATTCTTCTTTTGTGGGGCCGTCAACATTTTTTTGCGGGAAAGCGTTGCCCAGGATTTGGCCACGGGTCCGACTCTCCCCTGTGTTCAACTCCTCCCTCACCCCTTGCTACGCGGTATTGGGCACGCTGCCTGGGCCTACACGATAGGACCCCCAAAGGACCGCGCGCGCGGGCGCGCGCCGCCAGGGTCTATGTTTATTTTTTCTAGCCTTGGGTCGCCATACGTGGTTCGTGTTCAGTGAGTTACCGCTGCAGCCGAAGAAAAGAAACCGAACGACACGGATAGTGGGGCATGTGCAGCCTTAGAAGAGCGTTGAACAAAGTGTCGGAGAGGTTCTCCGGCGTGGGCCGCGTGGGTGTGGCTTCGACTTCGATCTGCTAAAGAATGGCTGGAATTGGGGAAGCATCAACTCAAAGTCGGTTGTTGAAGAGTTCCCTGTGTAGACACACACACACATAATGGACATGCATGAGATGGAAGCACCACAAAGAAGACATCTTGCAACGTGATTTCTAGTGCGAGATGTTCCAACATCCATCTATCAAAAGGTTGATGAATCATGATTTATAAATAAAGTATCACCAGGAGGGAAATCTCATCTTCCACATATTCCACCACTTCTAGACCGCTCCACTATGGGCCTCCGACCCCTAGACGCCCCCGCACCCGCCGACCCACATTTCTAGCGTCACCCGGGCTCATGTGGATTCGTCAAAAAACATCAAAAGCACAGGGAAAATGATCAAACATGGCCACTGATGAAAAGCAGCTGCCAAGCCTCTTAGAAAATAAAGCATTGAACATGGATACAAGCTTAGAGGAGAAGTTTGGGTCAAGCATCATTAGCATCAGCAGAGTCTCGGCAGGAAAGATGCAAATTCTTTGGGGCACGACTAGGCAGAAAACACTGTGAACTACAGCGCGTTTGCAACATGTATGTAGTTTATGAACAACGCTGCTCGTACTCTGGTGATGCCAATGGTGCTCGGCACAACTGCTACCTCAAAACTTCCTCTCCTCTTTGCATGCTTTCTTCTCTAGAGATAAGGCTTTACAGTAGCCATGCGTTATCGTTTTCTCTGTGTTTTAAACCTTTTTTGAAGAAAATACATACGTCCCGGTGATGTTCAAATGTTGGTTTGCGGCCGACATTTCTAGCACTACCTGGGCTTTATATGGCTTCTTCGAATATCAGGCTGTGCTGGTTTAGCGTAGTTGCCGGGGTTACGGGGTTAATCCGAGGCATCTGCGTGGTAAAAACGGTAAAAAAACGAAAAAATATGTCTTTACCGTTTTCCCCGGGGGCAGGGGCACTCGGTTTTTGTCCACCATATCCGCGGTAAAAACGGTAAAAAACGAAAGTTTTATTTTTTTACCGTTTTTACCGGGGGGGCTCCCCTTTTTCTCCACTATATCCGCGGTAAAAACGCTAAAACGCGAATTTTTTCTTTTTTTACCGTTTTTACCGGAGGGGCGCCCCTTTTTTCTCTACGATATCCGCGGTAAAAACGGTAAAAATCAATAGCTTTATTTTTTTACCGTTTTTACCGTGGGGGGCGCCCCTTTTTTCTCTACCATATCCACGGTAAAAATGGTAAACAATGAAATTTCTCTTTTTCCCGAATGCGTAGCGAAGGGTTCCCGTTTATAGTTGGGGGTGTGGGGGTTGGACATGTGTTTGCATGGCTTGCGTCGCGTCGTCGTCTCTCGTCGTCTGTCGTCGTCTCTCGTCGTCTGTCGTCGTCTGTCGTCGTCTCTCGTCGTCTGTCGTCGTCGTGTCGTCGTCGTCGCGTTTCAAATTTGCTGCCATTGGGGGAAGCTTTTGCAAGTGACTTTTCATGGATGTGTCACGTGTCAGTTTGCGCCGCAATTCCATTGTGATTGGCATGACACCGACATGTCGCGCAAGAAACGTGATGCATTCCGCTGCACAGGCGCAGCGTTTTGTGAGATCCGCAGTTTGCTGCGCAGTGCCATTGGGATTAGCGTTTGGAGAGTCGTGTTTTTGGGGTGTTGGGTGTGGCCGTGCCATTGGGATTTGCGTTTCAGGGTGTGGCATCGAAGCTCTGTTTTCGTGACAAGTCTCAGCTGAAATGGCGATTTTGGTGGATGGGAGTGTGCTCTGAACGGGTCGAAATCATTCCAAACGTGTGGTGTGGTGCAAATTTTGTTGAAGCTCACATGCGATGATATTGTCACTTTTCGTGGCAGGCGCAGGACTTCTTTGAAGCGTGGAAGTGCGATTCTCGTGGCAGGCGCAGGGAATCGTGAGGTTGCGAGGTGTGAGGGAGGTGACATTTCGTGGCAGGCGCAGTACTTTGTGCGCGTTAGACGTGTGGATGGGGAAAGATTCGCGGCAGGCGCAGGGAATCGTGAGGTTGTGAGTTGTGGTAGAGGTGAATGTCGCTGTCCCATTGGGATTGGCGTGTGAGCGGATGTTGTTTGGAGGGGCTGGAATCGCGAAACTGCTTGGCAGGGCTGCGTGATGTGTGTGCTCCGATGGGTGTTTCCGCTTGACTTTGCTCGTTTTGCAGACTTTGACGTGTGAGCTTTTGAGGAATTCTCGTACGAAACGCTCGTTTTGGAGACTTGACGCGCAACCCTCTGCGGAGATCGTGCGTGTCGAGTGTGCGAAATGCAGGCTAGAGTGCGATTTGTCCCATGCGCGCGCAACCCTCTGCGGAGATCGTGCGTGTCGAGTGCGCGAAATGCAGGCGAGAGTGCGATTTGTCCGGTGCCCACGCAACCCTCTGCGGAGATCGTGCGTGTCGAGCGCGCGAAATGCAGGCGAGCACAGGCGACTTTGTACAACTTTAGTACGCGGGGTATCTGGATAGCTGGAAGATGAGAACTGGTGACTTGGTAGTACAACTTTAGTACGCGGAGCAATCTGTGGAGCTGGAAGCTGAGAACTGGCGACTTTGTAGTACAACTTGAGTACGCGGAGCAATCTGTGGAGCTGGAAGCTGAGAACTGGCGACCTTGTAGTACAACTGTAGTACGTGGAGTATCTGGGGAGCTGGAAGCTGAGAACTGGCAACCTTGTAGTACAACTTTAGTACGCGGAGTATCTGGGGAGCTGGAAGAGAGTCCCACAAGAGTGTCCCGCAACAGTGTCCCACTAGAGTGTCTCACAAGAGTGTCCCTTAAGAGTGTCCTACAGGAGTATCCCACAAGAGTGTCCTACAAGAGTGTCCCACAAGAGTGTCCCACAAGAGTGTCCTACAAGACTGTCCCACAAGAGTATCCTACAAGAGTGTCCCACAAGGAGAGTCCCACAAGAGTGTCCCACAGAGTGTCCCACAAGAGTGTCCCACAAGAGTCTCCTACAAGAGTGACCCACAAGAGTGTCCTACAAGAGTGTCCTATAAGAGTGTCCCACAAGAGTGTCCCACAAGAGTGTCCCACAAGAGTTTCCTACAAGAGTGTCACACAAGAGTGTCCCACAAGAGTGTCCCACAAGAGTGTCCTACAAGAGTGTCCTACAAGTCCCACAAGAGTGTCCCACTAGAGTGTCCCACAAGAGTGTCCTACAAGACTGTCCCACAAGAGTGTTCTACAAGAGTGTCCCACAAGAGTGTCCCACAAGAGTGTCCCGCAACAGTGTCGCTCAAGAGTGTCTCACAAGAGTGTCCCTTAAGAGTGTCCGACAAGAGTATCCCACAAGAGTGTCCTACAAGAGTGTCCACAAGAGTGTCCCACAAGAGTGTCCTAGAAGAGTGTCCCACAAGAGTTTCCTAAGAGTGTCCCACAAGAGTGTCCTGCAAGTGACCCACAAGAGTGTCCCACAGAGTGTCTCACAAGAGTGTCCCACAAGAGTGTCCTACAAGAGTGTCCCACAAGAGTGTCCTACAAGAGTGTCCCACAAGAGTGTTCCACAAGAGTGTCCTATAAGAGTGTCCCACAAGAGTGTCCCACAAGAGTGTCCTACAAGAGTGTCCCACAGGAGATTCCTACAAGAGTGACCCACAAGAGTTTCCTACAAGAGTGTCCTACAAGAGTGTCCCAGAAGAGTGTCCCACAAGAGTGTCCTACAAGAGTGCCCCACAAGAGTGACCCACAAGAGTGTCCTACAAGAGTGTCCTACAAGAGTGTCCCAGAAGAGTGTCGCTCAAGAGTGTCCCACAAGAGTGTCCTACAAGACTGTCCCACAACAGTGTCCCACTAGAGCGTCAGAGCGTCTCACAGGAGTGTCCCTTAAGAGTGTTCTACACGAGTATCCCACAAGAGTGTCCTACAAGAGTGTCCCACAAGAGTGTCCCACAA